ACACACACACACACACACACACACACACACACACACACACACACACACACACACACACACACACACACACACACACACACAGTCGCTCACTTGACGTGGTGCTCGCGTTGGGAGAGCAGCGACTCTCCAAGCACGTGGCCAGTGCTGTCCAGAATGCACACGCCCGTGTCATCAAAGGTGCTCTCGATGCCTAGCACCAGCGGCCGGGCTTGCTTGCTGTACTCACGACTGCAGACACGTGCGTGGCCACGGCACTGAGGAACCCTGTTCTGTCGCGCCACCCCTGTTGCAGCCGTCACCTCACGCCAACGCCGCGCAGCCACACGCCACCCACCCCTCATCGCCATCTCTTCGTTGCTGATTCTTCTTCTTCTTCTTCTCTTCTTCTTGCGCGCGAGAGAATGACGATGATGAGTGGTTCACTGGCAATGTGGCTGGTGTGGGCTGCCTGCCTTGTCTCGGTCGTTCTAGTTCCCTTTACCAAGGTATGGCAAGGCAAGGCTCTGTGTGTGTGTGTGTGTCTGTGTGTGTGTGTGTGTGTCTGTGTGTCTGTGTGTCTGCGTGTGTCTGTGTGTGTGCGTGTGTGTCTGTGTGTGTCTGAGTCTGTGTCTGTGTGTGTCTGTGTCTGTGTCTGTGTGTGTCTGTGTGTGTCTGTGCGCCTATGAAAGTGAGTGAGTGAGACACCAAGAGACCCCCCTACACCAAGACACCGACCCACCCACAAACGCACGCACGCACCCCTCACACTCACGCGTGCGCTGTCCGCTCCAACACGCGCAGGTGGAGGAGAGCTTCAACTTGCAAGCCATCCATGATCTCGTCCACCACAGAGAGAACATCAGCCACGTACGCATCGCCATGCAATACGACTTCTTCCCCCCCCCCTGCGCTCCTCGCCTTCCTTAAGCACGCACGCACTCATGCACACACTTACGGACTCACTGGCTCACACACGTACATTCATGCACATGCACACACCGTTCTGTCCCCCCCCCCCCTCTTCCTCTGCGTCCAACGATTGTCAGTATGACCATCTGGACTTTCCTGGCGTCGTGCCGCGAACGTTCCTTGGCAGCTTGATGGTCGCGCTGCCCACCAGCCTGCTGACAATGGCGCACGAAGCCCTGTCGCCGCACGCCTCCAAGGAGCTAGGGCTTGTCATCGGTATGTCTGCTGGTTTCACAGCCATCACATACTTGTCGCAACTGTCTGTCCCACACCGCCCATGGCGGAGCACTGCCGCTCTCTTCCACTTCACGCTGAGCCCATGTCTCACTAACCGAATGCTTGTACTCACACATGGCATACACACACGCACGCACGGATCAGCAAGAGCTAGCTTGGCGGCATTCAACTGCCTGGCGCTGTGGCGGCTGTATCGTGCTGTTCAGACCCGCTTCTCGCCCCAGATTGCGACATTCATGGCAGCTCTGACCGCTGTGCAGTTCCACCTTGTCTTCTACATGTCACGCACCCTCCCCAACACCTTTGCTTTGGCCCTAGGTCCGACGGCTGTGTGTTTCTGTGTCTGTGTGTGTGTGTGTGTTTGCGTGTTTGCGTGTGTGTGTGTGTGTGTCTGTGTGTGTCTGTGTGTGTCTGTGTGTGTCTGTGTGTGTGTGTGTGTGTGTGTGTGTGTGTGTGTGTGTGTGTGTGTGTGTGTGTGTGTGTGGGTGGGTGGGTCTTTCTCTGCCTGTCCCTCTGCCTGTCCCTCTGCCTTTCCTTCTGCCTGCCCCTCTGCCTGCCGCTGCGTTTGCGCTTTGCATCTCGCTCACCCTCCCCACACAACCGTGCCTGCCCAGTGTTGCTGGCGTTTTCGTACTGGCTGGAGTCAAAGCTGCAGCGAACCGTTGTTATGTTTGCCATCGCCGCCCCCGTTTTTCGAGCAGGTACATCCACGCATCTACGCACCTTGCATTCGTCAACGCATGGCAAGCACTTGACCCGCTCACCGCCGTACATGCGCATGCATGCACAACAACAACAATGACCACCACCGGCACCACCACCATATGTGCCGCAATGGGTACAGAGCTTGTTGTCCTGGCTGGCCCGGTGCTGCTGTCGGAGATGCTACAGCGCAACATCTCGCTCTCTCGCCTCCTTCTCACCGGCATTCCTGCTGGCTTGCTCAGCATAGGTGGGTGTGTGCGTGTGTGTGTGTGTGTGTGTGTGTGTGTGTGTGTGTGTGTGTGTGTGTGTGTGTGTGTGTGTGTGTGTGTTTGCATGCGGCACCGTACACGCTTTGTTCTCCACCCCACCACCTCCCTTGCCTCCATCGCAATTGTCCTCGTCTTCCCTATGCAACTGTTTGCACACCAACTGCAACTGCAACTCCCCCGTCCTGTATCCGCCACACCCCAGCCGTCTCTGTTGGCGTGGACTCATTCTTCTGGCAGCGGCTGCTGTGGCCAGAGGGCGAGGTGCTCTGGTTCAACACCATCCTTAACAAGAGCAGCAACTACGGCGTGCGTACCGATCGAGACCGCGGATGCTTTGATGATTGCACACGCATGCTTGTGTCGACCCACCGATTCATACATCACACACACACACACACACACACACACACAACTCTCCCTATTCATCTGATGGTTGTCCTGTGGTAGACGGAGCCGTTCCTGTGGTATTTCTACTCCGCACTCCCCCGCTGTCTCAGCGCCAGGTACAGCACAGAAAGAAAGAGAGAGAGAGAGAGAGAGAGTGTGTGTGTGTGTGTGTGTATGTGTGTGTGTGTTTCCTGCTTGTAAGAACGTCTACCATCAGTCCAAACGCACACACACACACACGCGCGCGCGCATGAAGCCGAGCTTGGTATTCGCTCACCACGTTTGCAATTCCAACCTGCGTATGTACTACTGTTCGTGTCAGTTTGCTGCTGGTCCCTGTGGGTATCTTTGCCAAGCGCAAGTTGCTGTGAGTTCACACACGCACACACTTAACGGCTCTGGCCAGCATCGCGGTGCTTGTAGGAGTTGATGCCACGCAAGACACGGGAGTTGCCCTGTGGGGTTTGGCGTGTCATGGTTGCTCGCTCATGCGATTTCCCTTGTGGTGACATGATAACTGCGATGGAATGATGTGAACAGACGGTATCTTCTTCCCGTTCTCGCGTTTGTCTTCCTGTACTCCTTCCTCCCACACAAGGTGCTGCTGTCGTTGCTGTTGTTGGTGGTGGTGGTGTTTGTTTGTTGGTTGGCTGTTCTTCTTCTTCTAATTGTTGTTGTTGCCTGTTGTTGCTTGTTGTTGCTTGCTCTTCGGCTGCCCCGTTGTTGTTACATTGGCAAGTGTTGCATCCACGCTGAACACGTCACCACTTGCTGTCCGTGCTCGCTGGTGTGCAGGAGCTTCGATTTGTCCTCTATGCAGTTCCGATGCTGACCATCGCCGCAGCCGCCGGCGCAGACTACTTGTACGCCCGCTGTCCGTACATGTCCGTGTTTCTACCCACGTTTGTCTGTCTGTGCATACACGTGCGTACATGTGCCTGTGTCTGTGTATGTGCGTGCGTCCATGTGCATGTGCCTGTGTCTGTGAGTGTATCCATCTAACCGTTCATCCTGCACGCCGCCCTGGCTTCCTTGCTCGTGTTCATCTAACCATGACAAAGGTGGCGTGTGAGGAGTGGCCACGGTGCTGTGCAGCGGGCAATCAGCGCTGCTGCTCGCGCTGTTGTTGTCGGCGTGTTTGTCGGCTGCATCCTCAGCACAGCCCTTTTCACAGCCGTCAGCAGGGAGAACTACCCAGGTGCGTGCATGTGTGTGTATTTGTCTGCCTGTCTGCGAGTGTGTCCGTTTGTCTGTCTGGGCGTGTGACATTGATCTAACGCTCTGTGATTGCAATGTACTTGCATCAACGCCTCGAATGCTCGCTTCAATCGCACGCTTTCACGCCTTCACCCTTTCACGCACTCACACTCACACCCGCGCACGTGCCAGGAGGCCATGCCTTCCGGTGGCTGCATGCCAACTGCGATGATGCGTGCGGATCCGCGACGGCGCCCGTGTCCGTGCATGTGTGCAATTTGGCTGCGCAGACGGGCGTGTCGCGCTTTGGTGAAACCAACCCCCACTTCAGGTACCAAGCACGCACGCACACGTGAATGCATACACACGCGCAATTGTAGGCTTGACCTAGTGCATGCACGTTTCGAGCACGTTTGTTGTGTTGTCGCTGGGTGGACAGCACGTAATTGTTGCATGTGACTGGCTGTGTCTTTCAGGTACTCCAAAGCAGAGGAATGGACAGATGACCTGTCGTGGCGCAACTTTACTTGGCTCATTGCAGAACCAAAAGGTGCGTGATGTGTGTGTGTGTGTGTGTGTGTGTGTGTCTGTGTGTCTGTGTCTGTGTCTGCGTCTGTGTCTGCGTCTGTGTGTGTCTGTGTCCAGTGCGTCGCTTTCTGCTGTCGTCATCTTCTGCCATGAAAAGTCCTTCCTTGCTCATCACAACACGCCTGCTTGTCGTTGACTGCGACAGATGAGCCACAATACGCCGCTTCACACAAGCGCGTTGCCGCCATTCAGGTGCGGTGCTTTGTGGTGGTGTGAAGCCTGCGTCGCGGGTTGTATTGACCAGACACATGAACACCCATCCTCACGTGTGCATGTGTGCTCTGCGCTGCATTTGCGTTGCTGCTGCTACTACTGCTGGCAGGGCCTTGATCGTGTGTCCACGACGTCCTCGTGGCCGTTCATTCGCATCAACAAGCGAGACGCCCTCCTTGTCTTGCGTGCAAGATGATAGCCCGATGCTGGTTGATGCTCCGTGTGTGTGCGTGATGCATGTGTGATGTGTGTGTGTGTGTGATGCATGTGAGGCTGTCGGGCTTATCAGCATGCGTCACATGATGGCATGCATGCTGATAGTCTGTCTGCCTAACTGACATGAACAACCGACCAATCGAAGAAGAACGCAACAAGGGAAGGGGGCGAGGGAAGAAAGGACGAGATGATGATTGTGAACGATCACGAATAGCACCAAAGCCAACCATCACCACCACCACCAACATGACGCAATTCTTCTTGCCCACAAAATCAAAACAAAAGGCGGTGACAGTTGCGGATGAAATGAAATGATGACAAACCACTTTACCCACGCAGCGTTCGTGCATGCATTCATTCAGGCATTCATGCATGCGTTCACCACGACATCCATTGCAGCACTCACGCTTGACCGCAACCCAGCACAGTAGCTCTGCTTGCTGTTCCTTCTTCCTTCCGTTGGTCCTGCTTCCCTGTTGCTGCCGGATATGAGCTCGCACGGACCAAGCGCAGACGACCTGGTGTGCGACCCTTCGCACAGGTCCGCTGTTGTGTTTGCGTGCGAGCGAGGGTGTGCAGTCTTGCACCTCTGTGTGATGACCTGATGTTGGCTGACGCCCGCTTGTGCGAACCGCTGGTCCCTTCTCAGGTTCTGTGTCTCCAAGTCGGTCAACATTGACGAAGCCATCCAGGACCTCCTCAAGAGGTGTGTGTGTGTGTGTGTGTGTGCATGTGTGTATGTGTGTGCGTGTGTGTGTGTTCGTGTTGCGTGTGTGTGTGTGTGTGTGTGTGTGTCTGTGTGTGTGTGTCTGTGTGTGTGTGTGTGTGTGTGGTTGTATTGTGTGGTTGTGTCTGTGTTGTGTGTGTGTGTGTGTGTGTTGTGTGGTTGTGTTGTGTGTTTGTGCTGTGTGGTGTCCATCTCGGTCGCTTGGGGTTGTTCCACCCACCTCCCTCATCGACCCACCTCCCTCATCGACCCACCTCCCTCATCGACCCACCTCACTCATTCACGCACACGCGCTGCTTCATGCAACTAGGGTCAAAGCGCGAGATCCGCATGAGAAAGAGTTCCTGCAAGCCCTCGAGGAAGTCATCGTGAGCCTCAAGCCCGTCCTCACCCAGCATCCATACTACATTGACGTGCGTTGCCTAGTAGCTTTCGCCCTGACACACACACACACACACACACACACACTTGGTGCTTGCATACATGCAGGTATGCTGAGGTGTTGCAGACCACATCTGATAGTTTTGTGTTTGTGCCCTGCCCTCATCAGGTGCTGGAAACGCTGGCCGAGCCGGAACAGGTGCACTACTTCCGCGTGCCATGGATTGACGACAACGGCCGCCAGCAAGTCAACCGCGGGTTCCGTGTGCAGTATTCCAGGTACAGGGTGCTCTGTGTGTGTGTGTGTGTGTGTGTGTGTGTGTGTCTGTGTGTGTCTGTGTGTGTGTCTGTGTCTGTGTGTCTGTGTCTGTGTGTATGGGTCTGTGTCTGTGTATTTGTCCCTGTACATCCGCAATCCTCGAGCTGTGAGCGACATCCTCTCTCGTGTTCTCACGTTGCGCGCGTGTGTGCAATGGGCAATGCAACTGCTCATGCGGCCAGTGCGCTCGGCCCGTTCAAAGGTGGCCTTCGCTTCCACCCATCAGTGAACCTGAGCGTTGTCAAGTTCCTTGGTTTCGAGCAGGTGTGTGTGTGTGTGTGTGTGTGTTGTGTGATAGGATCTTGCAGGCGTTCGTGTCGCGTTCATGGGCTTTGTGCCTCTTGTATGAGCACACACACACACCCCATTCTCACACCGCACACGCACACACTCAATTCCTGTGTGCTCCGCCTTCAGATCTTCAAGAACTCCTTGACGGGGCTGCCGCTCGGTGGCGGTAAGGGCGGCTCGGATTTCGACCCAAAGAACAAGAGCGATGGCGAGGTGCTTCGGTTCTGCCAGAGCTTCATCACCTCCCTCTTTCACCACATCGGACCAAGCCAGGACATTCCTGCTGTAGGGGGATGCGTGGGTGTTTGGGTCAATACGTGGATGGGTCTACGCATATGCCTTGATGCCATCTTTCCCGTCAATGTGCGTCTTCCTACACGACAAGTTTACAGCGTTTTATTGCCGCACCTCTAAAGCTTGCTTCTGCCGTTGATGCTTGCAGGGTGACATTGGCGTGGGCTCTCGCGAGATTGGATACATGTATGGCATGTACAAGCGTCTCACGGTATGTCACACAGGTGTGTGTGTGTGTGTGTGTGTGTGTGTGTGTGTGTGTGTGTGTGTGTGTGTGGGTGTGTGTGTGTGTGGGTGTGGGTGTGTGGGTGTGTGGGTGTGCGTGGGTGTGCGTGGGTGTGCGTGGGTGTTTGGCCATAGCTGTACACTTACCCACTGGTGTTGGACAAACAAGCAGTCATGTGTCATTGTCTGACGTCCCACCGTTCACGCTTTTCGTGCTCGTGCATTTGTGCTTGCGCCACTTGCAGCGCCAATTCGAGGGCACAATGACGGGGAAGAACACAAAATGGGGAGGCAGCTACCTGCGCACAGGTGAGTGTGTGTTGTGTGTGTTGTGTGTGTGTGTGTGTGTGTGTGTGTGTGTGTGTGTGTATGTGTGTGGATGGGTGGATTTGGCAACATGCGCCCACTTGCTTGCTTGCGTGCGTGCTTGCATGCATGCTTGCTTGCTTGCCTGCTTGTAGAAGCGTTCGTTCGATCTAACAGAGACATGTCCGCTGGTTGTCCTTGCTTGTTGCTTGGATGACATCAGAGGCCACTGGCTATGGCGTTGTGTACTTCACCGACCACGTCATGGCTGACCTCGACACGTCGCTGGAGGGAAAAACGTGCCTCATCTCCGGCTCCGGTAACGTCGCGCAGTATTGCTGCGAAAAGGTGTGAATCCTGTGTATGCTGTGGTTGTGTGTGTGTGTGTTTGTGTAACGATGTGGTGGAACAGCGTATTCTGGGTTGCGCTGAGCAAATCCTGCCACATGAATGCACACGCGTGCCTTTTCGTCCTTTCCCTCTCCTACCCCTTGACTCGTTGACACTCACCAACTCACGCAAGTCACGCAATTTTTCATTGATGTCACATCATATCAGCTGCTGCAAGGCGGCGCAAAAGTTGTCACCATGTCAGACAGCTCGGGGTACATTCACGTCCCATCGGGAATGACAAAGGAGATGCTTCAGGAGGTGCGTAAACGCGTGTACATGCACATGTGCTCGTGCTTGCGATACGTTTGCAATTCCCAGGCGTGATCTTCCGGTGTTACTTGTTCACCTCATGCGACCAAACTCTCTTGACATGACTTTCCCTCGCAACTGCAGCTCTTCGACCTCAAGCAGCGACGACGGGGCCGTATTTCAGAGATGGCCGACAAGTTTGACCAGGTCGTGGTGTGTGTGTGTGTGGGGGGGGGGGAGGGGTGGGGGGGTGATCTTGTACGCTGTTGTTTCTCGTCTTTATTGCAACGCTCAAGTGCTTTGGTGCATGAGTGTCCTGTTTCCAGTGTGATGCCACCAACGGCTACCAAGGCCCTTTGCTCGTTGATGTCATTCACCATGCTTGCATCACTTACGAGTTCGCTTGCCCGCGTCTACCAGATTAAGTTTTTCAAGGGAAAGAAGCCGTGGGAGGTGGCGGCGGACGTGGCATTGCCGTGTGCGACGCAGAACGAGGTTACAGAGGAAGATGCGCAGACACTCGTGAAGGTGAGCCAAGACATGGCACGCATTGCATCGCGTTGCTTGGCTGCCGGGTGTGATCAATCGAGGCTTGCCTATCTTGCCGATCTCGCCTGCTCTCTCTGTCCATCTTGCCCACCTTGTCTGCCTTGTGTCACAATCGTGTGTACACAACGACTTTGTCTCACGCGTCGCTTCACCACCTCTGCGCAGAACGGACTCGTTGCGTTGGTCGAAGGCGCAAACATGCCGTGTACAAGCCAAGCTGTCAAGCGTATTGAAAGGTACGACAGTCATGCATATATTTGTATGTGTGTGTGCATGTGTGTGTGTGTGTGTGTGTGTGTTCGTCGTGTCGTGTTGCTTGCAGGCACGTGTGTTGGATATTTCGCTGCTAAAGCTGCGTTTTCATCACATTGCGTGTTGGTGACAGTGCCGGCGTGGCGTTTGGGCCCGCAAAGGCGGCGAACGCAGGAGGCGTCGCAGTCAGTGGCCTCGAAATGGCACAAAACAGGTGTGTGTGTGTGTGTGT